CTTTTTGGACTATTTTGAAAATTACCACAATAAAGAAGTTAACTTGCAATTTAAAAACCTCTAATACATTTCTAGGAGAAGAATTTTAAAAAGGACTTTTTGTCAGTTCTGTGACTTTATATTCCTGGGCAACTGTTTTTCTTTCTCTGGAAAGAAAAACTGGGAGTACCAATATCAGAGCAGTTTTGGATAGAGGTGTGTACCCATTAATTAAAATCATAAATGTTAATAATTTGTTGACCCCTGCACAAGGTCTGATTTACATTGGTGTATGGACAATACAAAATTAACATGGTTGAGATTGCATGTGGGATTAGGATTATCATTCTGTTAAAACATGCAATCAGTAACATCCAAGCTTTAAAAATCTGACAAAAATTGTCACTCTTAGAAAGAAGAGCGACATTGGCTGAAATGATCAACAAACCTATTGTCATGGATACTAGCTTAACATCAGTAAGGAGCAGAATGGTAATGATGTTATTTGCACCTGCTGACAAACAGTAGGCATGTCTTCTCTCGAGCTCCCTTAGATGTCTTTGAGGGATGGATGGTATGGTGAAATGAGAAAAAGGTTGTGCTTGTTGGCCACCCTGACCTGTACAGTGTTGGAGTCAAGGTCAGGCTTTAGAATAATGTTGTGCACCTTGTCAAACTCAGTGCTAAAATCAAGTAACATAGTGTTCTAGAAAGTCTCATAATATACACAGAACTGGTTTTACGGATGGAAATAGCTGGAAACGACCTCAACAGAATTAATATAGTATTAAATGTTCAGGAAGTATGACTTAAAGTCAGTTTGTGACAAGAAATAACTCCATTCATCTGAACTCTACCAATTCTACTAACAGGAGGGATTCAACGTTCAGCCAGACATACCGAGTGGCCTTGGGGATTTTATCCAAATAGTTAGTGGAGGTGTACATGCATATCTTAGCAAGTCTGGACTGGATATTGTTGTTTAAAGTCACTGCATGTGTCTCTTCTTTTATGAGTATTTCCATAAAAACTGTGAATCCATCAATAAAAGCCAAATTAATGCATATAATGATTATTCTCTCCTTCACATTGATCCCTTTTACAACTAAAGATTTTACCCATCAGCTAATGCCAGCACATTCAGATCCTCATGTTCAAACTAAGGTAGTTACCTGAACGCCTGTGTAGATGTACATCTATCTGTCTGTCAGGTGTTGGTACTCACATTAGTTAGGAAAGAATCAACAAAGGATTCTTAGGAAGCTGGGGTGGCCTTCACAAAGAGCATCCAGGCTCCTCTCAGTGTCACCCGATCTCTTGTGTTTGGACGTATATGTATGGCTAGATAAGTGTGTGTGCCTGTGTAGTGGGGGGTGCTTTCTTTAGGGTTTGAGGGCGCCTCATTGGCTGCAAAGCTGGGGTCAAATGGAGGTCAGGACATGTGTGATGGATGAACCCCTCTGTCTGTAGACCACTACCAAGCCTGCATGCTCCTAGTCTTCGTTCCTCCTGTGGGCCTCTAACCCACCAGAGTCCCCTGGCCATGCTCTTCTGTTTTCACATCTCTTTGTGTTCCTCCGTTTGGCACCCTGAGTTGAGGTGCCTCGCCGAGCTGAGTGGAGCTCAAAGAAAACCGCAGACAACTCTTTGAGGTGAGTTCTGATGTCAAGATGCGGACTCTCTTTTTTCTCTCCATCCAGTTACCACATCCCTCCTTCTTTCCTTCTTTTTCTTTACTCAGCATGCTTATTCTAACATAGCTGTACACAGAAACTGCCCATATGATGTCATCTCCCTCTCTTCCTCCATCACTCTGTCAGTCCATCCATTGGAATCTGTCGCACATCTGTCAATGAAGGAATTCATTTAGTCTGCCAATCACAGCAGGGGAGTGGTCAGTTGGAGCAGATGTGCCAATACCTGGAACAGCATGATGAGTGACTTCTGTCTGTCCATGTCAATGCCTCTCTTGGTTTCTGGCTCTCTCAGTTTGAGCCAACAGACAGGAAACTACAGAGCTGGACTTTTCTGAGAGAAGTGTCTGACCTGTTTTACAGAGTCAGTGCATCTTAAATAAACCTCAGAGTTATGAGGAGCAGCAAGTTCTAATCTGTTAATGCAACCACAGAAAACAACATATTTACTAGCATATTATTGTCTCTTATACATGACACAATAATTCAGACTAAATGGGTGGAGAATTTGCTTCTTTGGACATTACTTTTCACAGCCAAACTTAATTGACGAAGAGGTCAAATGGACTTGATGTGTGGGAAAACGATTGCGTTTCCATGCAAATGTCTTTTTCTTTTTAAAATACAATATATGCATTTGATAGTGATATGGTCAGTCCTCACTATAGGCTGTGTGGCACACATACAGGAAAAAAATAGAATCTATCGTTCAAGATTGAAATAATTGTTTTCTTTTTTTTTTATATACACGTACATATCATCTTACACCTCCGCCTGATTCTTTTTCTTTATTTCAGTGGAAATATTCTTGTGCAGGTCAGTGCATGTCTTAGTGAGTGTGGGCTCTGATGTAAATACTTTTTCATTCTCAGGTCCTTTTCTCAGATCAACTCTCAATTTATTACAGGCCAAAAGCCTATATATATATATATATATATATATATATATATATATATATATATATATATATATATATATATATATATATATATATATATATATATATATATATATATATATACATATATATATAGATATATATATAGATATATATATATATATATATCTATATATATATCTATATATATATGTATATATATATATATATATATATATATATATATATATATATATATATATATATATATATATATAGATATATATATATATATATGCTGTATTTTATTACACAACCTTCTTTCTTACCATATATTTATATATTATTTATTTGTATGTATGTATGAATTATATATATGTACATATAAATATATATACATATTATATATTTATATTTGTGTGTGTTTAAAGGAAATCTTCTTTAACGTAGTTATGGAAATACATCTACTTACAGGGGTCCTCTAACATAATGCACACTCACAATGTCAAACATCAACGTTTAGTAGCTAAGGTAAAAACAGAATCAGTTTTGAAAAAAAATGTAAGCGTAAGATTGGACAAATTAGAAATTGTATTCATAAAAGGGAAAATCTAGTTTTAGCTATTGTTGAATTGTTGTTTTGAAATAATTTTCTATTAAAATAATAATCCACCCTTTAATTTCAGTTAATTTTGAAGAAGCCAAAACTGCAACTTGGGCCTTAAGATTTATTTTTGTGCAAAGAAATAAATAAATGGCCTAAATTGTTTCATTAAAGATTATAATTATTATTATTACTTTTTAAATTATTATTATTTATTAAATTAATTATTTTATTATTTATCATTATATAATTGGCCTCCGCTCACCATCTCAACCCATGTCCCCAAAATCAGGTTGTGTTAAATACAATAGTTTATCGCTTTACATCCTAACGATTTAAGTGTTTATTTCTCCTCAGAGCCTTCAGTTTGAGTAAAGCATCTGTCATCGTCTATGTGTTTATCTCAGGGATTTAATGGAAACCATCAGGAGGGGTCAGGACGTCCTCTCCCCAAAATCCTTAAAAACCTATTTTGTTTTTGTTAATTTTTTATTAGTTTGCTGCCAATAAATTTTATTTTAATTTTTTTGTGTTTCGTTTTAAATTGGCCGTTCTAATCAGGCTTGTTTGCCCTATGCGGAGAGAATAAACTCTAGTTTAGGGTTGAGGGGGTTAGAGGGGTGCTGTGACAACAAACTCAAGTCGTGACCGAGGATTGACCCTGCATGCACGGCCTTTTCTTTTAAGAATCAGCTGGATTTTACTCTGAGAGGATCCTGCAGCGCACAGCAGCAGTAGGGGGACATCAAGGGGGTCCCATAGAAGGATGCAAAAGCTTCAGAGTTGCATGTTTTATGCTTCAATTGCGCTGTATTTAAATGCATTTAATTTAACCCCTCATCTGCCTCTAAGTTTGTCTGTGAATATAATTAATTTATTGTATGGGATTCAATATATCCGCATTTTAAGAGTGCCTGAAAATGACGAATTTGGATAATAAGGTGCCGTTTTTTGTTTTGTTATATTTGTTTGTTCCAATTGGTGAACTACTCATAGGCCTACTCCAGCACTAAGAATTATAATATTATTAATAGTATTATTTTCATCATCGATTCTTAGTCTCATTTTTATCCAGCTTACTTCTAAATATATTTTCTATATATATATAATATAACTTCTTTGCTTTTTTTTATTTTTAAATAATGTGCCTAGATTTAAGTTATATTTATAACTTAAAGAGGACAATTGCTGCCTTGTCTATTTATAAATTAAAAGTTAAATATGAAATTTGTTTCTTCAAAGGGGTAAATAGAGAGAATTAATAGAGTGGATTATACATTTTCAATTCAATTAACTGTTTATACTATTGCCTGATATTTGTTTTAAAATCCTATTTAATGTTTTTTTCAGTCTAAAATTCTATTTAGATATAATCATAAGCTCTAAAAGAGCCTTTGTCTAATTCCAACTATATAAAATTATTTCGTCCTACGTTTTGTTTAAACGAAAGCTTATTTGGTTTCTTTCCATCAGACATTAACATTTAAATGCTGGTTATTTTCAGTTAATCGTAGTAGTCGGAGAGACGTTACAAGCAAACGGCCTCCCACCCCGTGCAACAAGTGTGTGTAAACTTTGCTATTTATATATACACAAATAAAAATAAGGGTGTCTACAGTTACCGAATGGTTAACCTTGCCAGCGTTTTAAACAATGTATGCGCCCTTTGACATAATAAAACGCTTTACGACACGACTAACATCCACCAAACTCATTTCCTAGAGTATATGCGTGAGTTTAATCAAATAAAAGTGAAAGAGTGATCTACAGCCGCCGACTTTTACTAACAAGCTATGGCTCGAAATTCACGTCTAAAACCATTTTTTTTAGAGAGTCACGCTTGTTAAAGGAAGTTTTGTCGGTAGAATTGCAAGTTTTTTTTGGAGTTTATATTGTCATTAGGGGGGCATGATGACTCCTCCGTATAAGTTGGTGAACTGAAGAAGTTGAACTGATTTTGTGACATCAGTCAATAGCATTAACCCCGATGTTTCAATCAATACATTTTTTGTCCTCTCAGTAAGCCGGTAGCTCGATAAGGTTGCCATCACAGAAGACGCTGACGTCCTACCTCTCGGATAAACATGCCTTTATTATGCCAATAACTGTTCACCCCTGGGACGGGAGCTCGCACGGCCGCATACATTGACATGAGCGGACGGATAAGCAGACACTTGGATTTTTTTATTTTTTTATTTTATTATTTCTCTTCTATCCTTTTGCGTTATTATTTAGAAATACATTGATTCGATATTTGCTTTAGGTCATAGGGTTAAAGTTTTCTCTACACCATTCCCAAGATCTCCCCCACATAAAGAAAAATACAAAGAATAAAAGATTTATTCTTAAAACGCACTTTTTAATACACATGATTGACCCGTAACCGCATCTTAGGAGAAAGCACTTTACATTCGTCCCATTTGGTTAATTAGAATCGCTGATAAAAACCTTTCACAGCCCCGAAGGACCGGCTCTACAACTGATAAAACTCAGCGCCTCGCTGGTGACACATGAAGGTTTTACGCACCATGCAAATCCTGAACAGTACATTCAAACAGTCAACAAGCGCACATATAAATTAAAAGACAGGAGTAACAGCGATTTAACAGCTACTGTAACTATTTATTCACTAACGATAAATAAACGAGGTCATCTGGTTGATTGCGTGATGCCCCATTAACAGCAACCCCCGTGGCCGATGGCGCACAACTTTGGCACATTTTCGGGGTATGTGCGTGTGCAGATTTGTCACTTTAAATAGGAATACAGTAGCACTAGGTCAAGGTTTATTGTATTGGGTTGAAGTCTCTCCGCTTAGTTTTACGAATCGGATGCCACATTTTCAGATCAAATAAGCATAATTGGACAATGGTGCTTTGTGGAGACACTTTAAAGAATATGCAACAACTCTAAAACCTTTAGTCCATACTATTCGGAAATGTCTTAAATTGTTATAAAGTTCCACACAAACATCATCCAAAAACACATTTTAACTTTGGTATAAAGGATAACATGATCTGAGGAGGTAATGGTTGGTCCTCAGTTGGTGTAGGTGTCAGTGCCAGTGGATGACACTGTGGAGGATGAGGGGGAGGGAGTAGTTCGTAAAGATGAGCTTGATCTTTCAGATGCTGCATCGTCCATTTTCTCTGGGATGATCTCTTCTGGTTCTGCGGTTGGAACTTTCGCCGGCAGCAGACCCTCCTTCTCACGTTTTTTCTGCTTCATCCTCCGATTCTGAAACCAGATTTTGACCTGAGTCTCATTCAGCTGCAGCGCAGCCGCGATCTCCACGCGGCGGGCGCGGGTCAGATACTTGTTGAAGTGGAACTCCTTTTCCAGTTCTGTGAGCTGTTTGGTAGTAAAGTTGGTCCGGACCGTGTTCGCCTGACTTCCGTAACCATATTCTCCGGATCTCACTAAAGGCAAAAAAGCAAGATTTATCCATGTTGTTTGTTATTTATTACCACAAAACTTTACAAACTTACAACTTCTAGACTCCATTAAAATGAATCTAATTTTACGCAGCTGGGGCAACTTTTACGCACCAGCATATACACGTTTTTCTTGGCAAAAAGGCGCAACTGATATCCTGATCAATATATGTAATGACGTGCTAATTAAGGATTTAAAGATGCAAATATAATATTGATGTGATCACTTTGGCATTTAGTTATCTGATTACTGTGAAGAGCACACAGCTTTCAATAACACACAATAAGATTAGTCCTAAGCAGATTAGAGTTGACTTGTTGGCACACTTTTCTTAAACACTTAAGGTTTATAGACTTTTTTTAGTTATAGGTTGATCAGACATTGTGTTAATTATCCCAGAAACTATGGTTGAATAGATAAAAATATATAAAAAATAAAATAAAAACATATCTTAGAGAAATGACAGCTTGAATTGTCCATTCTCTCTTTAGACATCAGTTGACTTATTTAGATGTATTTTCATGTTTTGCTCTGAGAAAAAAAAGTAAACATATCAACTGCATTTGGAATGCCACTCTAACTTCTGAATACATTGCTCCTTTTCAGGACTGCCTGACAAAAAAATGACACAAAACTGTATTTTAACACTTAGTATGTTGTTTTTGACCAAATATTAGTATTTTTTTGGGGGGACGCGTCGCTGTCCTTTCGAAGCCTAAGGTAATTATGATGTTTTGACTCTACCGGGTGAGTCTGTACACTATTGACCCACCTGTTTTTGGTGGATTCCTCTTGACCTTCATCCAGTCGAAAGTCTGAGCAGAGGAGACGCCCTCTGACAAAGGTGAGCAGCAAGCCTCCAGATGAGCTGCATGCAGAGGTGACATTGGGTTTGAAGCCCCATGGTAAGGGGGTGCCTGCTCGTGTCCGCCTCCATAGGCGGAGTGGGTATACTGCAGCTGGCCCAGTGGGGTGGCACTGTAACCGTGGCGATGCTGAGAGACCATAGAAGAGGATAGGTTACCCGAAAAAATCAGTGGACCGCATTGAGGGAACGCAGCTCCAGAGTCAACTTCCTGGTTCAGCGTGTAGTGGTTGTACGTGCCACAAAAACCTTGTGGCCCATAAGTTGAGCTGCAGGCCGTGTGGGCACCGTAGGAGAGACCCAAAGTGTTTGCAGTAGACTGGTAAGACCCCGGCTGATGGGGGATGCTGTCAGGCGAGGTCCTGTTTGCCATAAAGTGCTCATCCACCCCGCAGCTGTTGACAGCAGACCCGCAGGACTGGAAAGTTGTAATCCCGTGGTCCGAGTGGAAAGCCCTGATGGAGCATGAACCACCTTCTCCGTTCATCACCGAGTAGTCTAAGAAATTGTTCATTGTGGCATTTTTCTCCGGGGGCCGATGAGCCGTCCTCTCCAACAAACACCCTCTAAATCCACCCTCACCCAAAGTGACCGTGCCAACATTTACCTATACTCTATCGTTATCAGTGTTGGGAGGAGGGGGGCGCGCACTGACCGATATCAATGAGCGGCTGCTGTCACGTGGCTTCAGGTCAACCAGTGAGGCACTTGTCCTTATCCCCTAAGCCGGTGACAGATTGGTGTTTGAGGGGCTATTTAAATTCCGAACGCTCGTCGATCAAGGTGACGCGCGTCGCCGCTAATGTATTGGCCGAGCAAACAATGAGCTGGGAGGCAGATAGATGTGGAGAGTCCCGGGGTCGCATGCAGGGAGCAAGGCGGCTGTGAACAACGCCGTGCTGTTGCATTGGTGATGGAGAGAATAACATTTTATCCTCTGCTATCTCACCATCAGGAGGAAGGCCTTCGCTCTGACCTGCAGGTACCCAATTTTTGGATAAGTGTTTTTGTGTGCGTGTGTCCCACTCGGGTATAAAAACGACGATATCACATGAATAGCAGCGTCAGTCCTTCTTGGATAGATGGATGGACGGCCATGTATGAGGTGGGGTGGGTGGGTGCGCATCACCGCTGCAGGGTATCTGCGGGCTATTAATGTCTCATTCCGATGCAAAATGTTTCACGCTTGAACATTATGGGATTTCACTCAGCAAATATTGTCACAGTGTGACAGTGAGGAAGAAGCAAGAAGATTTCCCTCCAATATAGACCAAACTATTGTTCTTTTTCTTTCTTTCTTTCTTTCTTTCTTTCTTTCTTTCTTTCTTTCTTTCTTTCTTTCTTTCTTTCTTTCTTTCTTTCTTTCTTTCTTTCTTTCTTTCTTTCTTTCTTTCTTTCTTTCTTTCTTTCTTTCTTTCTTTCTTTCTTTCTTTCTTTCTTTCTTTCTTTCTTTCTTTCTTTCTTCCTTCCTTCCTTCCTTTCTTTCTTTCTTTCTATTTCACACAGTTGCTACCGTTTTTTGTATATTTAACTGTTTACTTGTTGTGTATTCCCCTTAATGTAGCAGGGGCGGCTCCAAAACTTTTTCAGACGGGTGCTCAAATGGGGGCCATTCATGATATTGGGTTTGGGATATGACACAAAAACTGCAAACCTTTAGAAATGTGCAAAATTTTATTTTGGTGACATCAAGGGGAGATAAATAGGAGACAGTGATCCACTGACAATGACAAGAAAATGATTGAAATAAATAGTTAAATACATAAAAGTTGCCAGTCACAGTCTCTTCCCCTTAAACAATCAATGTGATTCAAGTAAAGAAGCCATTAAAAATGAATAGGACTGGTTGGATAGGACAGGTGGAGGTAAATTTAGAGCACAAGCAAAACCACCCACCTACCCACTGTCTATGAACTATACTTTCTCTTTAACAGCCTGATTACTACAGTGATTTACTGATTACTCTTCTAGTTTGTGATGGACATTCATTAATCGGTTTATTTATTATAATTGGAATTTTATTTTAAATGTCACGTAAAGTACCAAAGTTTCAGTCTGACTCTTGCAGAACCCCTCTGGGGTTGCCCGTCATGGGATCCCCTCAAAGCCACTGTTCTCTACATGTAGTTTCACATCTTGAGATAAACATAAAAGATAAACATCTCATTATATTCATAAGATAATGCATAGCTATGTGAAACTCCAACTGAATCGGCATGCTGATATTTGACATCATGTTTGAGTTGTCATAGGTGATGAAGAGGCAAGAAAACACATTTACCATTAAGCTGATGGGGTATTAATTTTTTCATCTCTTGCAGGTCATAGGGTCTGCCATGTACTGTGATTCCACTCCCACATGTATTCATTACGCATGTATGGTGATCAGATGATATAATAATGAGAGAAGGTCTTAAAAGCGCCCGTGTAGCCTGAGGTGTGAATGTGGGCTGATTATCCTGTTAAGATCATCAAATAAAGCTGCTGGAGAAATGAATGGCCACAGAAAAGGAGCGGAGAGGTGCCAGGGGGAGGGGGGAGGGGGGGTACTTGCAGCAGATGCATAACCTCTCACCGAGGAAGGAAAAGAAAAGCGAGGATCGCACGAGCGCCCCCAAAGGCCGGAGAAAGTTAAACACCTCAAATGAATTTTCCTAATACAGAGATCCTTCCAGCCACTGGACAGCCGTAGACGTCATTTTCATGCTTCTTGCTGGCAGGTCCTTAACTTTCTTTACACCATAGGTTTAAATGCAGTCTTATCAGGCATGGTTTGCCCATTACATCACTTTTATAAACTTTTCTCACACATAATAATAACAGATGTTTGCTATTTTTAAGATTTTAATTTTAAAACTATATTTATGACTCAAATTACCTTTAATTAGAACTTTTGTTATCTTTTCTTATCTTCCTCCCACAATTTTCTTATTTTGTCTTAAATGAAATCAGGGCCAACTAGTTGGATATTTCATTGAGTTTGTTTTGAGTTGGATTAGGACACTGATTTAAAGATGTATAAACTTTAAAAATGAGATGCTTACCTTTCCCTCTCAAGTGGTTGGTTTTATTGGTAATAAGACCAATGATTCACCGAAGTATTTTTTTTTTTTTTTTTTTTTTTTTTACCAGATTTTCTTTTTAATTATTATCCAGTCAATCTGCTAAAAATTGGTTACTTTCTTGTTTAAGTATTTGAAAGTTGATTTAGATCAGAGAAATCTGGATTTTAATGTAAAAGAAAAAACTAACTTGTTAAAAACTTTCCACCAGTGTGTGTGTGTTTTGGGGGGTAGTGGCGGTGGTGGTTTGGGGAAAGGGGGAGCTTAATTTCACCTCCACCCACACCACCCCTCCTCCCTTTTCTTTCTCCCCCAGCTGCCTCTGCAGTGAGTTGAGTGGGCGAAGGCTTCTGCCTCACTATGTTTGGTGGATAGAAACTTCACCACATGCAGAAACCTCGGAAGGCTTTTCATGGTTCTTTGTCTGAGCCGCAGGAGCGCAGAAAAGGCGCGCTGTCTCGGAATGATTTGGTTAAAACAAGCACCGTGAGGAGGAAAAAAGTAGCAAATACTTTTTTCTAACCCCCTCCAATATAAACAAGCGTACACACAGAAAACTTTCCCAATAGTGTTCACTAAGTCAACAAGCTGCTTAAAGCTTTCAGATTTCCCAATAAAAGTTCAAACTAATTTGCAAAGGTTAATATCGATCCATCGCAACTGTGGAGTTTTTTTATTATAAGGTTAAAATTAAGTTTCATAGATCGAGTAAAAATCTATATCTTCAGGTCTAATGAAAATAATAGTTCAGGATTATTAATAATCGTTTCTTGAATAGCAGGCTTTAAAGTGCAGCTGAAACAAACTTCTCCAGTGGCTTACAGTCCACAAAACACGCACACTTTCCTGTTAAACAAGCTTAGATAATATCTACTTAAGACAGCTTTTCTTTGGAGTAAATGTGATAAATGTTCAATATTCCAAGAGAAGTCTGGCCTAAATTTCAGCGCAGCCTCTTAACCCTAAGCAAGCTGCTGCTGCTACTGCTACTGTTGTCTCAAAGCCATGAGCCTTGTTCAGACAAGCTATAAAAATGAATTATTACCCAACGCATGCAGAGACTCGGCCCCCTTTTAGTTTTAGGAGTCGGGGAGTCCCGTATGAAAACGTAAGTGGGTGTTTTTTATTATTTGTGCACATTACGCGACAATTGCTCCCCTTAACGTCCTTCTCTTTCATGCCATCGGGTTGATTTATGAGCTCCTGAAGGCAAACATGGCTCGGATTATTTGCCTGCAACTTGCACTCAATGTTAACAGCCCTGTCCTGCTTAGATCTCTGTTGGAAAATATGCCTTTTATTATACTTAAAAAAAATAGTTTGGAAGTTGGAGATGCAAATATTGATATTATGATCCTATGCACTTGGAATTAATGTTGTAAAAAAAAATTTAATAAAATCAGTAATATTTTGCTTTAAAAGTTTGCTATGTTTATTTTATTCTGTTTTACATTGTATTTTATATAATTAGTTTTTTTCTTTAAAATTTTATAATTAACATAGTTACTATGGAAGATTTTAAAAAAATGAAATTGTATTATTTATGCACGTGTTTAAACGCTTTCTATAATATTTGTTTTATTCAAACAAGTGTTCCGTCTACAAACTAATATAAATAGATCATTTATATTCATTACCAACCTGTTGTTAATTTGCATAACCCCTAATTTTCGCTTGTTTAGATTTCGCTTACATAGAGAGAGGGTAAAAAAAAACAACAGTTCAATCTGGAAATCGTGAAAAGAAGAGAGTCAAACACAAGCAGAAGGATTGTAGCAAGTTAGTGTATTCTAACAAAAATATTCAAGAAAACTATACAAAAATAAAAAACGACCCAGTTTCATATAGGTCTAACACTGTTGGATAATTCACACACACACACACACACTCATAATTTCCATTTCAAGTGATCAAGTTGTTATGGTAGTTAATCTACTTTAACCAGAGCTTGTACAGTGATTTAAATCCGTCCTTACCTTGTATTAATCGTCAAGTCAAATATCACGAGAGTAAATGTGCCGCACATACAAACAATAAGGAATAATGTCGTAGCCTTACTTCACACACACATTCTCTCACACACACAAACGGGGAGGGAAAGTTGTAAAGGATTTTCTTTTTCTCTGAGTTAATAGTTCAGATGCTGCAGGTCGATTGTGGTTAGGGATTCCGAGAAAAAATAGAAAGTGTCCGCGGAAATGTCCACGGGGCTATCCAGAGACTCCGACAAGCTCGGCGAGGCTGTGTCCGAGAGCTGTAGGCAGGAATCCGAGGAGAAAGGCTGAAAATCGTGCAAAGAAACATCCAGGGCTGATGGGCTGTCGCTATTGTCCGGCCCAGATGCAGAGCCGGGGCCCATTGTTGACATGCAGCCCGGAACAGTGGGTGACGGGTTGGGAAAATGTTTCAGATTTTTGTCATAGCTGGCCGCCTCTCCGTTATTGTGCAGCTGCGGCTGCTGCTGCTGTGTGTTGTTCTGAAAGGAGCAGGTATCTCTCTCCAGGAGGGGCCCGCTTTGCTCGTACAGCAGGCCGCCCCCCTCTTCGTCCTCCTCGCTATGAATGCCGTCGTCGGCTCCAGGGCCCTTTGCATCCCCACCACCGTGGTTCTCCTTGCTCTGGGTCTGACGCTTGTGCTTCATGCGCCGGTTCTGAAACCACACCTTGACCTGCCTCTCGGTCAGATCCAGCAAGGCCGCTATCTCCACCCGCCTCGGCCGGCACAAATACTTGTTGAAGTGGAACTCCTTCTCCAGCTCCAGCAGCTGCGTGTTGGTGTACGCGGTCCTCAGCCTGCGGGAGCCCCCTCCTCCACCGGCTCCCTCCACGATCTCAGGCGAGCCTGGAAAATAAACAGTAAAGGGATTATAGAAAAATAAAAAAAATAGGACACAACAATTGCATAACCCCACTGCCTGTAAATCTAACGTTATGACTTTTACATTAAGCAAAATGGCCACTGAAGCTATTAACCTGCATATTTTACCTAAACATAATGTCTGTATTGATATAAAATTTCCATTTGACTTTTAACGCACAATATAACCGCCTGCAAGAGCGTGAAGCGCTCTAAAACAGTGAGGTCCATCCTGGTGTGGGAGTCTAATGAATGCTCCAGCTGCCCTACTCGGCAAAGGCACTCCATCACTCTTCATTAATGTCACACATCAAAACTCTGCCTCGCCGAGGGGAATAAATCATCTTACATCACCAAACTTTACCCGAACTTAACTCCCATGCTTCACACTCACATTCACCCACCATAATAAAATTATACTGGAGTATTTTTGTTGTATTTATAGTCTTGTCCTAGAGGGGTATATGTGAGTGGCTCCAAATGCAGCAACAGATAGTGAAGGCATCGGTTAGGATTCACCCACCTTTCGGAGAGAAGCACACGGGTCCGTTGGAGATGGTGGTGGCGGTTGAAGCAGCAGTGGTGGAGTTGGGCAAGTGGTGGTTCTTCTTGGAGGCTTTCTTCTCCCGCATCCATGGGTACTCCGGGGGTAGGGAGGCGGTAGGCAGCGGGCTGCAGCCATCGGGGCTGTGTCTGGGCCGACCGTGCCGCGGATGGCTGCCCGGGTTCAGGCTGGGGATGGTCAGCTCGAAGGGAGGAGGAATCAGTGTCGGGCGTGAAAGCGTCGAGCTCTTGATTGATGAACTTTGAAATGAATCAGCGACAGGGGGGAAAGATGTCAGGCACTCAGCAAGCGACGGCTGACTATTGATAAAACCGCTCTCTCGCTCGAATTCGTAATTCATCTCCGCTCCCTGAGAGCCGAGGAAAGTTTGCAGCGCCGTATTTTTATAAACGTCGCGGCTCAGTGAGGACGATGAAGAAAATAAATAAAAATAGATATATAAAAAAAAATCCCCCGATGTGTTTTTCTTCTATTTCACTGATTATGGCCGTATGGGAACCGAGCTACCATTAAACTATAGAATTCATGGAGACAAGGTTGAAATTGGACCGAATTGCCTGTCACATGATTACCTCTGTCCAATGACAATTTGGGGCTTAATCAAAAGAAGCCACTCTCTGCCTGATTGATCCAAAAGGAAAAACAAACAAACTAAAGTCCTCGCTCAGCTGGGCCATGCACGACTGTTTTTATTTACATCTCTGTCCGTTCAGCTCGTCCTCGCCTCGCTCCTCCAGTCCAGTCCACTAAGCCACAAAATGTGTTTTTTAAGAAGCGCCTGACGCTCTCTATTACAGGGAAGGAGACCAGCTCGGGGTGCGCGGATTCGTGCACTCCTCTTTCTCGTATTGTTTCAGGATGTCAGTCGAGAACGCCCCCACCACACACACACACACATATATGCAAAGACACACACACAGACACAAATTTCACCATTAGCTCTTCATATTTAAGTTTTGGAGTCGAAAAATAAATATAAACCCTAAAAAATTTTGACATCATGATGCATGTGAGCTCGTTTTGACCAATGCTACAGTTCTAACTGCATCAAACCCTCTATCCTCATTTAAAATTGAACAATTTGGCGTATTTAAAGCATTTATGGTTTAACAGCAACTAAATCTCCTCAACTGCTTTCCCAAAATTCCAAAAAGAAAAGCAGCCAGCAATATCATCAAACATAGTTATGTTGAATTCTTATTAAAGAGCAGGAAATGTGGTTCAGGTAAGGGGCAAAGTTTGTCAGCTGAAAAATGAAAGGATATCATTGTCTCTAGGATTTTTCTCTTGCTTTTAATGAAAATTATAGTCAATTTTTGGTTAAAATGGTATTCCTTTCTACAAAGAAAACTTTTGCTTAAAAGACTAATGTTCTGTTACCCTACATCTAAACAAGCTTAAATATGAAAAACCGTTACCTAAAGATAGTATATGTTAGAGTTTGATTTTTCTTTTTTCTTTTTTCCTTTCCAAGTATCAGATCAGGACTGAATAGCTTCAATCTAGACATTGGGAACACGTGACTGACGTAAATGTCCATCTCTATGCCTTTTCTTACACAAGGATACCATGGCGCTTAAAAACAGAACTATGTTCTTAACATGGTTAGAATGGTCTTCCTTTTAGTCCCAGCATATTATTAAATCACATACGTTTAAAATCCACTAGCTTCTTAAAAACAAGTAAAAGAAGTGAAGTGAAAGTTCGATTGTAATGCAAATATGTCTGTTCCACGTTGGATAATTTGGAAACGGGTAAAATTCTAGATAGCCATAAAAGACAACTTCCATCTAAACAATCTAATAATTTAACCCCAAAAAATGAGGGGTGACGTTAACAGAATGCCCTTAATAGTATTTTTAAACTGGTTTAAATGGTTAAGCAATTTTAAAAGACGCGTTTTTTCATGACTAGACAAAAAAAAATCTAAAGAATATTGACAATTTATTAGCAAAAAAGACGGAAAAAACGTCCAGGTTTAAATGTGGTTGAAAGGTATTTAGGAGTGATCTCATTACCTAACCAAGACTCACTTATTGTAAATTTGGAAGAGACCTAATGGCAAAATAAATGTCCAATTCCAGATGTGTTTTCATGGCTAAGACAAAAACAAAACTGACCAGCCTTAATTGACTCTAATCAGACGTCTGTGGATATCTTAGTGTTTAGATCCATGTAACAGTAGCATAGAGGCACATTTCCGTTTATTCCAATATAACATTGAGCTCATAAACACATGATGAAACGCAGTCTCTTTTTGATGACTCAAAACAGCCATGATTACTGCATTCCTTTAAAAGGAGCTTTGGAAATAGTTTTGTTTTCATGTCAGGAGCGTGAAGCCACAAGGCTATATAAAGCAAGGATTTATTGGAAGGACATTGCCACACTGCTGGGAGGAGGGAATGGGCATCGCACTGTATTTCTATAATCCTTCCTACCTGAAATGGTCATGGAGCAAATATAAACACGGTTACAATCGACCTTTTACAACAAAATCTATTTGCAAGCGTTATTATGCTGATGGGAATGCTATCGAGCTGCTCTCTCCCCCATTCGTGTTTTGTTTCATATGGCTTGTCTAGAAGATTCTGTAAAACGCTTCCCCTTCCCTTGACTTGTAATATTCTCGTTCACAAAAAAAAAAAATATGTATATGGTTGTATTTTATTAAGGAAGAAGAGGAGAGGAAGAGAAAAAGTGGAAGGCCTCTCTCTCAGTTTGTTGCTTATATACCAAACAAAGAGTCCTGGAAGCCTGTGCGCGATCAATCTTACTCGCCAAAAGGTCTGACAGCTCGGTGCCCTCACAACACATTTAAGGCTTCTAACTCTCCCCCGGATCAAATTCAGCCAGGAAGCGTCGAGAAACAGTGGTCACTCAGATTAGAACCAGTTTCTGCTCGCACTGCTAGTCTGTTTTTCGCTGGAGGGATTTTTTTTCCTTAGGAACAAGAGAAAAAAGAGGAATCTGGTCACACAAGATGCGACCATTTCCTCTCTGAGAGCCATCGGTGAGTAAGTGGTGAAGCTGGCTTCCCCACCTGGCTTTTATCTTTGAGTTAAACATTTTTTATGTATTTGTTGTTGTTTTTTATGCTCCAATTTTTGCAAGTGGACAAGTAGGGAGTTGCTAAGAGAAGAGACGGATGGCTATTTTGGAATTACGCACAGGCTTTGTTTCCAAGACAGGGAGTGGGTGGCGGCATTTAGGGGAGCCCAATGCGTCCTCTGCACTTATCTTTACAGCAGCAGTGGTTTAGGGAGTAGTTTCCCACGAATGCTAAGAGAAACACTCCATACATTCAATTTTGAGTTTAAAAGCAATGTATTTGTTTTCTACCTGTATGGCGCATGTGGGTCAAATCGGTGTCCTGCTGAGTACGCGTGTGCATGTGTGTTTCTGTGTCTGATAGAAATACTCAAAACGTTGGCCTTTTTTTCCCCCCATGCCACACCATGCTTCAATTGTTCTAGGTTTCCCTGCTAACCATATGTCATCGCTGGTAATGTTCGTGCCCTCTGATATCAATCATGTGTAGCTCAAAATGGGAGCAGAAAGAAAACGGGAGAATAAATAAGTTAGTTGTAAAACATAATTAAACAAAATCTATCAGAGGCTTGTTTTGGAGAAATATCTTTACGCACGGATTTATTGGATGGCCTGTTCCACTTGAAATTCAACACTGGGAATTTCCGATTGCTTTTTTTATTAGCTAAAAAAATAAACGATAGGTTGCAGCTTTCAAAAAGCAAAGCATTACTAATTTATTTTTGCATTGGAAATAAAAATAAAAAAGAAAGAAAATGCTATAGGCCGTCTGTGTTCCTCTGCTGCCGGCTTTGGTCGATATCATGGAGCAAAATCTACACCTTTCAGGGAATGATTGAACAAATAATGCCCATTATTGCATTTTAAACCGCGTCTTTTCTGCACGGCGTTTGACTGACTATACACATAGGCGGATTATTTCTAAATGATTTCTCATTTGGCTTGTTGTCTCCTTGCAGAACCCTCCACGAAGACCCGGTTGACATTTTTATTATTATGGATGTGCCCACGCAGATGAGAGAGACGCGCTGAGGGAAAAAAAAAGAGGGAGCCCACCCCCGAGAATGAGAGTAAATAGATCAAATGTTTGGTATTTTAGCTGTAAGTTGTTCTTGTTTATTGAATAAAACCGTTTCACTATTTTAACGTGTTTTATTGTTAAATCAATTGATAGCATGCAGTGTTTATATTTATTTTTTTGCATTTAAAAAAAATCCATCAGTAAGATGCTATTTTTCATTTTGTTTTATAAGTTGATGCCTCCTTTTTATTATTTTTGTTTTGGTTAAGTTAGAAATAACGGTACAATGTATCGTAAATGTATAACTATGTCTGTGGCTTTTAAAATTAAAACTGATAGATCTGATTTTTACTGCAATTATTTTATTCATTTCTTCGAACTGGAGCAGCATGGAATGTTTGACATCTAGAAGAAGAAAAAAAATATGATTTGTTTTTGCCTTTTATTCAATAAAGAAATTAAAAACGTGTGTCCTTCTTTCCACCCTTTTTCCGTGACTGATTGACTTCTTTTTTTTCATTCTCTTACAAAGAAAAAAAACACCTCCTCAAATTATCATAATAATACTTAGAAAAAAAATTGAAACATTTAGCCTGCAATCTAGTGACATGGCAGAAATTATAGGGCGAACATGGCGCTAATTTTTCTCCAACCTTCTCCCCCATGAAGACAAAGATGGGAGGGTGTCAAATAATACTATTGGAGTCTAAATAAATAACATTTAAGAAGTCCAATGGAACAAAACAGAAGGAAAAAGGGGGGCTGTGCAAGCCCATGACCCTCTGTTTTTTTTTTTCTTTCTAAAATGTAATCTCCTCACATTACCAGCTCCTGGCTCTTAAGGTTCTTTTTGTACACAAGTGCAAAAATAGCTAACCATACTTCTTCAATTGCGGATAAATAAGGACAGACAGCTTCACATTGAAAATGAATAACATGTGTTCATAATACCCTGTTTGAGATTTTGAAAAAAATAAAATACGTTTCCAAAAGGAAAAGATTAAATAAGCCTATGCATATGCTGTTGCCCTGCTTGTCTCCCTTCGTTCGGCGCTATAGACACTCTATATTACATAAAGGTCTTTGTGAGACAATGACACAAGAAAATAGAGGAAAATTCAAGCAAGTCGTGGTTATTTATCCTACGCTACTTCACACATCAAACTATAGAGAACACAAACAAACAAAATAAAAGGCAAAAGGAGAAGGTGGGAGCCGTGAGGAGGCTCAGAAACAAAGCAGGGAGGGGGGGGGGGGGGGGGGGGGGGGGGCATATGTCTGGAGGTGGATGAGACAATGGGGCGGAGTGATCCAGGCTTGCGCCGCATGCTACAGATGCGTCAGTTTGGGCGCTTCCTGGATTCTTCCCTGAGAATAGTGCGGCGTTAAGTCTGTATATGTCGGCGTCGGATCGCATACTCCGTGATGCTGACCGCCGTTGTTGCCCATTGTGATCGCACCGTTGTACTCCATGCTCCCAGACGGAGGTGGAGGGTGAGGGAGGTGGGTGAGGCCGAAAACCGAGGCCCCAGAGCTGGGCACAGAGTCGATGTAGCCTCCGCCGACATAGACGGGGCTGCCCTGCATGTGCGCGCCGTAGTTGCCGTTTCCGTGCAGTGGGTGGTGCGCTTCATACTCGGGCGTGGCCGAGTCCGTCCCAGGGTACCTCTTCTGGGGGGGTGGGCAGCTGTTGAGAGAGTTGCTCAGAGGTGGGGGATATGACGTAGCCATACCATAGGCATTTTGATGAGTTTTATTGTAAGAGGTTGGAGACTGGGACTCGTATTGTACACTGTTAACGAGAGAATGCATAGAGTTGAGATATCCGCTCCCTCCACCACCACCCCCACCGGATGGAGGACCGACTGGGCTGCGCGGAGACTGTCCACCGGGAGACGGCATCATCCCGACGCCCTTTTGATCCTTTTTGTACTTCATCCGTCGGTTCTGGAACCAGATTTTAATCTGTCTTTCCGTGAGGTTGAGCAGGTTGGCCATCTCCACCCTCCTGGGCCTGCACAGGTACCGGTTGAAGTGGAACTCCTTCTCCAGCTCCACGAGCTGCGCACTGGTGTAAGCTGTCCGGGCCCTCTTTGATGCTGCTGACCCCGGAGGACTCTTGTCTCCGGGGCAACTCTCCACTGTCAGGGAGAAGGAGAAGGGAGCGTCAATCAGTAATCCATTACAGACACATAGAGAGGAGTACAGAGGCAAGACACAGGAGAGTAAGAGTGAGAGCAGAAATGGTTGACAATACACTGATAGTGAAACCCTGTAATCAGGAGGGGGGTGGTGGTGGAGACAGAGCTCTTTAGTAGATAAATATTCCAATTAAAGTACAGTTTTAATCTCCTACGATCTGCAGCAAACATCTGAACCTTTTGATAAATCTACCCCCAACATAGGGGTTATCATCTGGGGACCATGAGACAATTAACAATTAATGTTCCTACATTCATATGCACTGACCAGAAATGCAACTGCAAACATGGGTCACTATCTGATACGTAACCCTGGTTTCCTATACTAAAACATTTGACTCTCATCCTGCCCCCAAAGTCACACAGCATAACAGGCACATAATGCAAGCACAAGCAGTTATAGATTCCTCATGGTGTATAAAACTGCTTATTTAGCCTTCACTGATAAGCTTGAAGACGCTGGAGTTTGCCTGCAGAAATCCTAAGGTCATATCCACTTGCAGTGGCAGCCGGCCAACACTTAATAAATTTCACTACCTGTCTCCTAAACCTGAAGTAGGAGGAATGCAACATGACATAACCCGAGGCATAATGATATTGCAGAAATGAAAGAGGAGTCTGCACATGGGGAAGAAGGAATGGCTAAGCCCAGTCAGCATGTGTATGTGTGCTCCATAAAGGTTTAGCTCAGCCTGGATGGGATCTAGATGGTCCGGGACTTAATATTAACTATGTGAGACCGACTTTGGTGGAATAAATTCAAAACAACTCAATCACAATTTCCTACATGGGTCTCAATTAGATGTAGAGAAAATAAGTTCCATTTTAACAGCACATATAAAACCCATAAATCCAATAAACATGAGGTCAGAAACCTATATGTGATCCATTGTAGAGTCCATAGTTCAGCTGATTTCCCAAACTTATGGGTCCCATATTTAAAATGTTAGCAGTGGATTTAAAAAAAGTCCTGAATTCATTTTAAAATACTGACTTTAAGCAATTAGTTAATTTCTATAGACTATAGCACGGTAAAAAATGCATCCTAGAATAAGGTCAGGCTTTAGAAGGGCTTGGCTCTATGGGCTGTCTCTGGTTTTCATGTCCTACCAGCATAACTTTGTTTTGTAAGCCTACAAAGTGCAGTAAAATTGTTATAGCTCCTCATTTAACTTTTAGACAGGCTTTTCCAGAGCAATTATTGTTGTTTTTTTATTCTTTCTAAAAGGTTCCTTCTTTATCATATTTTTTTTTTCTTTTGTAGTCAAGAGGAATACTTATCTCATATGTTATTGTAGTTATGGAGGCTTTCTCTCTGGGAATGTAAAATCCAGTTACCAAAATACCTCAGAAACCAGCAGTAAGGGTTAGAGTGCATGGGTTAAGACTTAATGGTAGGCCTACTGTAAGGTGCTTGAGGATTTGAGTGCATCTCCGTTGTACTTAAAAATCTGCTTTTTCTGAGTTTTAATAAAACAAAACCCCACATGAAGTCACCTTTTTAATTTAAGGTTACAGATTTGTCATCCTTTTTGTTTTTGTTTTGTAAACACAGTCAGTCGATCACCCTTTTATTTTTTTAAATATAATATCACAGAAATGTTATTGTTTGTACTTCTTATTTACCACCCACATTGTTACTAAAATCCCAATCATTTTCAGGTTTGCATTTCGAAAGCACTTTATACAGGGTGAGCTCATTCCAAGAACTAACTGTAGAGACAAACCAAAAAGTCCCATGAAATTTTAGTTTGGGCATTGATGTTGTTGATTTTCAAATGGATTTGTATTGGATGCCTACAAAAATATCCAACAAGTTTAAGCCATCACCTAAATATTAGTTCAAATTAGTTAATAATTAAGATATAATGTTACCACACATACAGAACTTTAATAAAACAGGAAATTTGGAGGGGGCACAAAATGTTGCAGTCAAAGGATAAGTCCGTCCCAGCCTTTTAAGCAATCTGTTATAACTTAGAGGGGGTTAAACGTAACAGACAGGCTCCTTAATGTGTAACAGAGCATTTTGAAAACACAATCATTTTAGATTTTCCTCTGCTTTCATAGGCCACTGCAACTCAGTGCATAATTTTCCTCAATTAATCTACAACATTTTTAAGGACCCTCAGAACCTTGCGCAAAATATGTTTTAGACAACTTTATTAAATGCCTTGTGTGTATGTTTAAAAAATTACTAGCTATATCATATCAGCTTTGTAATTATACCTGATGAAATGTTTAGTTTGGTTTGTCAAGGATTTAAATGCTAGCCAGGCCCTTGTAGCTGTTCTTGTGCACAATCTGCATAAATAGAAACATTGTCAATGTCTGATGTACAGTACATTTCCAAATACACATAATTTTTTGAGTTTCTTTAGACCATCTGTTTCTTCATTTATGCGCTTAAAATTTCAGATTTAGTCAATGCAAATACAGCCGTTGAAACACGATGCTGACGCTTCTAATTCCTTTTTTTCTGTGCAAACTATTTAATGTCCTGTAAATGTTTCACAAGTATGAAACCTAATTCTTATAATTAATTCTATTGAAAATTGAATATGTCTCAAAGTAAAAAGCACTTAAAATACTGATCATTTCATTATGGTGGTAAATATACAAAAAATATTATCCATGAGTTGGGAGAGAGGGATGTTGCTATGTATTTTATTTATAAGGACAAATACCTCATAATTTCCTGCAGAATACAAGAAACAGTGTTTGCAGTGGAGAAAATAAGAAAATCTTACATTTTTAAAGATTTTATTGAACCAAAGGGAGAGACTTAAAAATATTAATCATTATGTTATGTTTGTTTGAGAGCTTCCTTATCTATAAAACATTTGAAATGGTGAAAGGTGAAAAGGTTCAAATATGTTTTTATGTATGTATTTTTAAATCAACTCCCTAACCTGATAAACTCCATGCACAGTTTCAGCAGATCTTATCAGAAACCTCCCTCCATATGCAAACCCTGTGCTGAAGCTTAAAAATTTAGCCTATAACTGTCTGTGTTTCTGATTGTTAAAAGAAACTACAACCCAATTTAAAATACCAGCCACAAAATGTACAGCAGATCATGGGAAGATGAGTGTTGCTAAAGTTTTAGGTTGTCTCTGTGTAAATACAACCCCTCCTTTGGCCTGCCCTTAACCCCCCCCCAAAAAACACTGACCCACTGAGTTTCCCCTCTAATCAAAACAGCAGGACAAACTGAAACAACTGCTGTGTGTGTTTGTTTGCTGTCTCTCTGGGGACATTATGTGATCAGTAGAGATGTGTGTTTACAGTAGGGACAGGTCAGCTGGAGGGCATGGGGACAACAAAAGAAGGGATCTGCTACTTTCCCTCCACCAATCCACTGCCTGCATTCAAGCTGTATGATGTTGGAGCATTAGTAACATAAATAAAAACCCTACTAGATTTGCAAGATGGGGCTATAATGTTGTATGATACAACAAACGGTTCACCTTACACTCCCCCTGCTTGGAATATTAAACAATATGACCTTCCCATACAGGCACCAAACTGGCTCTGTTGTGTTTTGGCCCTTTCTATGCACCACTACCTGCACACCAATCCACACCCCCATGTGTTTGATGTAACTATCAGACTGTGTGTCTGCAGCAGCTGTACCTGAACTGGAGCTGCTGGCAGGTTTCTGTTTGGTGTTCTGACGGGACTCCTTCATCCAAGGGAAGATCTGCTTGTTGCGAGTAGTAGAAGTCGGGGAGCCGTTCTTGGCTGCACTGGGCTTGACGGACCCGTTGCTTGAATCTTGGCTGACTCCACTTGGGGACTGTGAGGGGGGAGGGGGTGGGCCTGACACCGGCGCTTGATGATTGCTTTCGGGGAGAACCTTGGCCTGCGCTGCCTGAATGGCCCTGTCGCAGCCCTCCGCCACCATCTCCCCCGGCTTCTGCAGAGCCACTGAGCCGCCACCGGGAGACTGCAGGGAGCAGGCGGGTCGATGGTACTCGCTTTCCACATGAGAAGCCCTGGGATATTGGACCTGATTGGCATCATAACCGAAGCCATTTGCGCTTTGATACGGGTAGCCACTGTAAATTGCGGAGCTGTCGTAGTAGGTCGCCTTTTGCATCTCGCCGTTTCCCAATATTTATTTCAGAAACTGACAGGGTCTTGACACCCTCGTAGAATAACATTGGCACCCCGTGGTCACGTGACGCCTCTCCGCCAATGGCCTCCTTGGGTGAACCTAGGGTTACAAGAAGCACTGTGAGGAGGAGAAATGGTGGCGATCCATCTTACTTTTCAATACAGACCTGACACTGGAGACTGTGGAGGCAGATAGGGCCAACAGTTCTGTGGTCTATTACCGTTTACCTTATGGCTTACACAAAAGCGCACCCTAGCCTTGTATTACCATCTGCGCCAAGCAGCATAAAACGTTTTCAAAATGAATTCAAATCATTTTAAAAAAGCTTAACAAGAAAGTATGATGACGGCTTAAAACCCCGAGACAGTAGGGAGAAGAAGGAATATAGTTACAGTAGAGTTTAGAGGGAGAGAGCCTGCTGTGGAAACGGCTTGTTAGCGGGCTGCCACACAGGAAAATAATGTTTCTGTTACAATATTATTCTACCAACCGGGCTGTCAACAGCGTATCTAATTTCCTCTAGCAGGTAAAAACTCTCTGTGTGGCTCCAAAAGGAAGAAAAAAAAATATTTTTGTCAATTTTTAAATATTTCTCTCAGCTAAAAAAAAAAACAAACAAAAAAAACTAATAGAACAGGCGTTTAGCAGAAGAACATTACATATAGATATATATAAAAAAAAGTATACTATATGTCTTTCCGCTCGAATATCTTCTTCACATTAAAGAATTGGCTCAGATGAAAACCTGAAAAACCAGGCGGGCTTCTCTGCAGCTCTATAACCGAGGTGTTATTTCCTCACAGGGCTCATAATAATGGCTGCTTCTGCCGGATCCGTCGTTGTGATCTATGAAGGGCCGGGAGCGCTTGGCCCGGTGTCCTGGGAGGAACACCGGCCTGGGTAATAATAAAGGTTTAACGGCGGTGGATACAAATGGAACTATTCCCCAAAATAAGCTGATTATTTACAAACCATCTGACGGAAATGTTTTATAGCGCTGCAATGAAATAAAATGTTATAGATATGTAATAATAATAATAGCAATGTAAAAAATGCATTGAAGCACTTCCATCTTATTAATTAGTTTAAAGAAATCTTAAAACCCCAATGTATTCAGAGCGATTCTATCAAAAAGGCCAACTTATATATCTCATTATATTTTTGCTGTTGTTCATATAGTTAATTTTTTATTTCTATGTGATTGCAAACTTTTCTTTCATGATTATATCATTCAGATAAAATATTCAGATCCCAATCTTATTGATCTAAAGTAGGCAGTAGTGTGGAAAACATTTTCTAAACATGAGCATAAAATGAAAATAAAAACATGAACCTCTGACTCCTGCAGCCATGCATACCAAAAGGCAAATCAGTCCAAAACGAGCCCCAAATATTTGCTTTCAACGCAGCCTAGCTGCAGACTGAAAGAAGCTCTCTAATGACCGGTAAAAGATAAGAGGAGGCTTCTCCTCTCTGGATCTCCCTGCGAACCATTGCGACAGTCATAAATGGCAGAGAAAAGAGAGACAAAAGGCAGACTTGAGCTATGCTGCTGCAGGAAAAAATCCGTCCGCCTAACTCTGTGTGCGTGTGAACTCTTCCTGAACCGAGATCTGAAGTCTTACGGTGATAAATCACCGCCGCGACACACAAACTCCACCATTTACAACCGAAAGAGGAGCCTATTTCTGGCCCCTGCTTACCTTATCCTCTTACGATGAATGCAGAGCGCCGGGCAATATTTTCTCATTCAGCGACGAAATCGATCAAAGGCAGTAATCCAGAGGAAGAAGAAAAAAAGTTTTAAAGGCAGCCGGGCTGACTGGGTTGAAGGAGCAGCGGCTGACTGCGCCCTGCCATGCAAACAGGCATTAGCAGGCACAACACGCAGGGAAAAAAAAGGGAAGAGCCAAGAGAAGACCCCCTTTTTCCTTTTTCTCTTCTTACTCGCCGAGATTGCGAAAGCAGGCGTGAGCAGTCGGGTCAGCGCGATAAGAAGAGTTATCTGCTCCCATGCTTGCAGGGTAATGGACAGGGCTTCATGGCAATATTAACGTCAGCTAAGGCTATGCTTGACTATGAGATCCTTCAGCAGTTACCATGCAGACACCAGTGAACTGCCCCGAATCAGAGCGTCACCGTAGACAAGAAAAATTATGCAAATGAAGCAAGCGCCTTGGAAAGCCTGTCCAAATCAAGTAGTTGCCTCTCCTCCTCCTCCCCCAACAACCCAAATGAGGTAGTCCTTCTAGAAAATAATAACCTTAATAATGCCTGGTTTACAATACACCATCCCAAAAGATGTTTAAAATAATTTTCTTATAATTTACCCCGCATCCAAGAGAGAAGCTATGGACCTAAGCAGATTTTTGGGCTAACAAAGGAATAAATAGAGACTGAGAGTGCTGCATTTCCATATCCATGGGAGATAAAGAGCTTCTGCGGGCGGCTTAATCATTAACCTGCGTTTTTGCACAAAATGCGCTGTTTTAGCGCTCAGCCGCAAAGGTCCTTTCCATTTTCACAATGAGCCCTTTTCCTAGGAAGTAAGAGTGCAGTACTGTGCACATTCTGATCAAAGCTGATAAATATTAGAAGGGAACCCCCCACAGCAGCAGGAGCATGGGGATGAGAAATGGGTAGAGGTTTCATCACCCAAAAGGCCAAAGCGGGAGGACACGCAGCGTGGAGGACAGAAGAAGGGAGACGGGGAATTCCTTCTGCATGGTAATGTTTGCAGCCAGAATGAAAGACTTGATAGAATTAGATTTATGACTCTCCTCTCAGCTGTAAACACGGCCAGCAGCTAAAGCCTCTCTGCTGGTTTCAGGCTGTGGGACAGAAACACTTCTGACACAACGAGAAAAAGGTAGAGAGCGCACTCACGGACGGCGTGGGAGTCTTGAGTGGGAGAAAAAATTCACACATGAGGATTTTTTTTTAGCTAACGTGGCTTTTTTCTTTCACAAAGCAACTGCTACTACTTTGTATAATTATTTACTTCTTTGTCCTGTGCTAAAACGCTGATTTTGTCTTTTTTTTTTTACATTTAGCCTGGAGCTGAGGGTTAAAAGGGCGCGCGTAAAAAGGACCTAAAAGCAACGTGGGAAGGCAGGAAGAAAAAAAACTTACAATTTTCAATAAAATAAAAAGCTTAACCTCGTGGCAGCGGGCTTTAGTAGCTTCAAACAGATGGCTTTTGCAGAAAGTAGTTTTTTGAAACGAGTAAGGCAGCGCTCCAAGAGCCGCGATTCCCCTCCGTCACTTTTATGGTGACAAATTACACCACAAAGACAAGTGGAAGAGAAGGAAATATTGCTCTCGGGTTGGTCATATTGCTGCTACACGGAAATATACAACAAGCTATACACAGGCTGCTGCTTCTTCGGCCTTGTGAGCGCACTGGGAAGCCTTGCGTGCGTGTGGTACTTATTAGAAATTGAATAAGGATATCACCATCAAGCATTCATAACATAAATCAATAAAGATATATGGACTTACCAAAGGCAGCTCAGGGTGTTTCCGAGACTGCGTCTGAAGCTACTCGGCCGGATTTCTGCAACGAGAAAATACACACATATATTTTCCGTTTTTGTTCACTTTTAAAGCATAATTTTCAAAATTTCTTAAACTGTGATTATTTATTTAATATTCTAATTCATTTAAATTTGGAATGATGCCTTTTTTCTTCTTTAAAACAGATCATTTTATTTTTCCTCCTATTTGCTCTTTTCAAGCAAAACGTATTTATCTTCAGTCTAATCAGGTTAATTTAGAATTTTTTTAAATTATTATTTTCACTTTAAATGTATCTATAATTTTAAAGATAATTTATTGCGATTTTGTCTTTATTGTATTTATTTGTTTAGTTGTTCCTTATGCGTAATGTAACTTTTTTGGTTAAAACAGGTCAACCAAAGTCTGAGTTTTATATATTTTAGAATATTTTCAGAATAAAATAACGAATTTAAAGAAAGAAAATATACATGCCCGAGGAAAATTACCTTTGTTTAATGGCTTTTCTTATAATTTCATGCAAACTTTTTTAAAGATTCTTTTTTTTTTTTTTTTTTGTAGCTTGTCAGATTGAAATACTTTGTTGAACTGAATTAAAGAATTAAAATAAATGTTGCAACACCCCAATAGATATGCATAAACAGAAACATATATGAATATATCTACAATATCTTAACCTGGTAATATAAAATGCGGCTATATAAATAATGCTGCTTAATGCAAATAAGTCAAGAACAAAAACAAATGTTTCATATGCAAATAACGTATTTGCCTCATCCTCTGAACCAAACGGATCGAACAGTCATTAGCTGGCGCTCACCAGCTTCCCAAAGTCCCCGCGCCCATAAATCAAGCTGGAGCTCCGTGACCTTAGCGCGGCCGCGGCGGTCCTAGATGGCACTCCGTCTTCCATTATATCCTCATTTCCCCACGGCGGAGCGACACAACAACAACCCCAACGCTCTCCACTAGCTCCTTCGATTTGATCTTCTTTCCCCTTTTTTATGGAATTTGTCTTGATGCATCGTTTACGTTCGGGCGCGGCACATAAACCAGCTTAAAGACACTGTGCTGTTTTAGTTTTATGGGACAGGTTGACTCCATGAGCTGTCGGTAGGCTGTTCTGTTTTGGGAGTCTGCTAGAAGTCGGAATAAATGGAAGCTTTATTTACTCACGTTGGCCTATTTATCTAATAAAAAGGCTTTATTGATATGAACTGTGTTGTTATGGTGTTTAATATTCAGTGAAATTAATTGTGCGTCCCCGATACTGTCACAACCGCAGAGAATAATGTATTTGGAGATTTTTTTTTTATGTTAACAGTTCTTATGCACAGCTTCTTGATATTTCTTGTGCTCCAAAAAAATACAACCCCCCCCTTTTCTGACTGACCTCTGCTTGGCGCAGCAATAACTCACGACAGTAATGAACAATCGGCGGAAATACCTCAAAATAAAATCCATCCTCCCGAAGCTCGGGCTCCGACTCCCGTTTGTGTGGTAAAAAAACAAAAAACAAAAACACATATCCGTCTGTGACAACAGAATATATCCACAAAACCCAGGGATCCTCTCCTCTTCTGCTCGGCTTGAATCGGAATTTCTTTCTTTCCTTTTTTTTTATATACAAAAAAAAAAAAGAAAGAAAAAAAAAACTACAAAGCAAGGGCTCCTTTCCTGGAAAGTAGGGGTAACCAGCATATAATCTGCATCATATGGCCAGACCGGTGCTCCGGTTTTCGTTCCAGTGCCATAACACCGCGCGGTATTATGCGCCCTGCTCACGTGACGCAACGTCAACTTAAATCCCCTTTTATTTGAGTCCGTGAATCATTAATGGAGGCAGTCATTGCCCCTGAGGAGAAACGGATCGGGCTTTGAGAGGGGGGAGAAAGAAGAAGAAGAAAAAAGAGAGGCTGTGTGATAGTGCAATGTATCTGGCCGAGGAGCAAGCCTCTCACTGAGAAGCAGCTTTTCCACGTGTCGCCCCATTCAGAGGAGAGAAAGGAGCTGCTTTGACACTTTTAGAGCGCCATATATTTGGTGCCTGTTAGCGGATAAAGAGAGCTGCACAGGTCCAAGCGAATTGGTGATGGGAGAAAGCTGCCCAAATAAAAGAATACCAAGCACATTTACAGCTTTCTCTGTATTCTACCACTGCCTTGCTTTGCATGGATGTATTTCACAGCGCTCAACTCAATACCGCCCCCCCTGTTCTCATCCTGACACTTGTACATTAGTATATACCACTTTGTCAGCCTCTGAGCTCCCCATCAGCGCAGTGTGCACACTACAGTGGCAAATAAAAACCAAACGTTGTCACATTTACCTGTCACACACGGAGAGGCTGGGAGTCCTGGTGGTCGTGAAGGGCGTCTGTCAGTCAACGGTGGGCGGAAAGGAAAGGTGAGGTGACCAAACAGAGGCTGCTCGACCCCGCTGGTCAGTACATGGACCCCCTTTAGAGTAACATGGATCAACTCACTCAACATTGTCCGTAAAAGTAGTTGTAGACTTGAATGGATTAATTTAAAAGTTATGGATAGAGGGGAGCGTACGCGCCTACAAGACACATTTGCCCAAAAACTCGTAGCCCGGAAGAGATTCTCTCCTCTCGGCACCGTTTGGCGCTTGTTTTCCGTCAACACCGTGCAGCGGGCGTGGAAAAATCCCCACCACAACTATTAATCACTCGAGGCAGACAGAGGCTCCATCCCACTCCCACATTATGCCTTTTGTCCTCTCCTGCTCCAACCCTAGTGGCAAACTTTTTAAAGTCAAGAGCAAAATCCGATTATTTTTGTTTTTGTGTTGAGTATTAATGGTATTCAGCGATGAAAACAACAAAATGTTTTCTCATATACTTTAAATAAATATGTTATTGTGCGTTTTTTTTTCTTTTTTTGCAGATGCAGGCTACACAAATGGTTGTCGAACTGCCTGGCGGTGTTCTGCAGGTTAATCCCCTCCTACCTGTCGCCACCGCACCTGAACTTTCCCCTGACCCTTGCAGAGTTGAGTGGGAAGTCAGACACCCAAGCCTCTAATTTGGTAACTTTGAATCCCCTTTAAAATTTTAATAGGATAGCATTCCAACTCAATGCTGCTTGCAAAACGAAAACAGGGGAGAAAAAAAAAGCAATACATGATAGATGACGCATTTAATCAAAATAACACAAATGCTTCCAGATGTATTTCCACAAATCAAGGTTCCTTATCTCTGTCAGCACAAAGAGGAGCTGCAGGCGCAGAGACCCTCTGGATGTCGGCCAGACGGCGGGCCATCTTCCCACAATGTTGACACTCGGAGCTCTTAACAGCCAGGCTTGGGTTACCGAGCCTCTCAGCCGAAGATAACTGCTGTAGCGAGGTTTACATCGGCCAACATCAAGACTAATGCGAAATTCAACGCCTCAAGCTGAGTGGAGCCAGCTCTAATTAACCCCAGACCAACGCTGCAACCAGGACAGAGGAACTGTTTGCTTGGAGGTGGTTGTAATAAAGGAAGTTAGATTGGCTTGTTGAAGTGGCTCTTATATTTATACCATGGAAAAGCTTTAGTGAGCGTTTTTGAGTAGAATCTACAAGATTTACCTGAAGAATAATAATGATGAAATTATATTCTGAGTTAAAGACAAAGATAAGCCTTGCAGGTTCCTCAATTTTAATGGTGTATACTATGATAGTCAATAAATAAATTAAGCCCATTGGAGCCAAGATTATATTTAAGAAAAAATAAATTAATTATTTCAAATATATCCTTTATAAAGAAAATGGCAACAAGCCTTTTCCTTATCCTTCAATTTTCTAAGCAATGATATAAAATCCTTTTTCACACAATTTTCATTCATCCAATTTGTAACCTGTAAAAATAAATACAGGTATGAATTCCATGTATGAATAGCCTATGCATATAATACAACAACTGCGAGCAACATTGACAGATTTCCTGCATGCTGAGAAAGGCATACTTTCACACAAAAAAAAACATTTTTTTTTCAATGTTTGCTTTCATCCAAAATTCACAACAAAATATTGAAACTAAAAGCCTTGAAGTGATATTTGTGTTGCAGAATACATATTTCCGAAGAATAATCTGATTTTGCAAGCATAAAACCTGGTGCCCATTCTATACATCCTGATATACTCATCTTCAAGCCATACTCATAAAATGAATTCATGCATTTGTTGTATATATTTAAGCACCTTTAATTACTTTAACACTATTGATCCATGTCAGCAGGTTTGGACATGAAACAATAGTGGTAAAGTAACTGAACAACATAGGCATAAATTCCCTTTTTTGAGCAATGCTTGTTGGCGTTTACCATAAATAAAGATTCTATGCCATGGATAATATTGATAATTGTGATATTAATAATAATTTCACATCTAAATATTTAAACTTTTTCAGCATTGTTATTTTATTTATTTGAGCACTACAGAGTGTGCAGTGAGATCCACACCTGTTTTCTTTAATCAATTTCTCATTCTACCTACTGATGGTTTCGAAATGCAAGTATTTGAAAATATGCTATGTTTTATCTTATGAATATATAAAGACTTTATACAGAAATCCTACAATACAACTCAAACATATTTTACACGCAATCATCCTCTCTCCAACAATCCAAAAACCTCTGCAGATCTACTCACAAGTCATGATGGTTCGGCAGCCAGAAGTTCTGTCAGAGGAAGGAAATGTGACTTGCACCTTCCAGAGCATCACTTCAAATGAAATTAAGTCAGATTTTCAGATCTATTTCTGACCCCCCGGGGCATTCATTATTCAGCAAGTCACGTGAACAAGAAGAGATTAAAATTTCAGCACTCTGAAAGTGACCTCTATTCGCGAATCAAATGACTTGAAATACGTAATTGAACTATATATTTGGACGTCTGCGTAAAGTAGGTGCCAATCAGGCGGTGTCATTCCTCAAGCCCAAAGTGTAGGAGGGAGTTTTTGCTGCGAAATGTATTCATGTTTTCTATATGTTTTTTTTTTCTGAATAAATGTGGTTAGAGAAAATAAGATGCTTGTTTCTGTCTCTTGTATTTTGAAATTAAAATGTAGTTTACGATTTACGCTCTTGAAACCCATAATCAATAAACTTGTCAAAGTATTTATGGGACTTAAACCAATACATGCCAACAGATTCTGAAATTTATGCACCCTAACATGAAGAATCTCAGCATGTTTCTGCTCATGTGCGCCCTCTCCTCCCGGCCCTGCCAGCGCTCCCCCTGTGATAATCTGCACATGCACAAGAAGTGTCTCTTGGAATCATTTTGGGAAAATTCATGGCTCAGTTTCACACTTAAACACGGTTATTGTTTGGCACGCCGTCTTTGGATAGATCTCAATGAAATGACGGAGGTCTCGGCGCTGATGTATGGTCTGAACATTGTGTGTGTCGAAAGGTCATGGGTCAGAAGAAGTGCTTGGAGCCTGTGATTGGTCAGTGGCTGCCGCTGTCCCCTGGCTGAACTCTCTATTGTTTGGACGGGGCAGGTAGTGACCAACACTCACGTTCTTGGTACTCTACGGCTGGCTGACACCTCCTTGGATTGGCAAAGTGGGAACAATATGGGTGACAGGATATGCAGTATAGTTCAGGTTTGGTGTAATCAATATCTTAAACTCGGAATGTCCATGCACTAAAGATACAGTTTAATTAATTTCAGTCAAAAGATTAAGCTGTTGTTAAAAAAAATCCCCTACAAATAACCCCATATTAAGCCAAAAAAAGTGGAAAATTAGAGTGAGATTAATTACAACAACATTTAGACAATGATAAAAATCTTAACTGCATATTTTCACCTTTCACTTTTCTACAAACATTTGTAGTAAAGGTGGAAGCTGTGGTGGTTTCTCTCATCTTTTCATCAAAAATAATTGCTGCCAGTTAAACCCATCTGCGTTTGCATCATGCGTTTCAGCCACCATCGCTTCCTAATCCAAGAAAATTTAGTTCTCAGACGAGGAAGGCGATGAGAATAACAATGAAATGATGCAAACAGATGTCTTAACAAAAGTGACACGGCGAAAATAATAATTTTCATAACAATTTAATCTTTTTTCCAAATAGAAAAAAACCACACAGCATTGCGCATTATTGTCCAAGTCAAATCTCGTTGCAAAAATACATGAATTTGGTGAAAATATTTTATTTAAATAAGATTTTATATAAAAAAAACAAAGCAAAATAAGAAAAAAAAACCTTTGTTTTGATACACATTGCAAAATATTATAAATCGAGGATCTAATAATTCTTATCAGAACGCATGTTTTCTTTGAGCCTCTGTCTTAATATCATAAAACCAGTAGAAAATTGAAAGGTGAAAATATGTGTATTGACGTCAAAATGCAGGAGCTGTTTGAAGTCAGACAAATGATCCGCAAGCCAACTGTCTGAATCTTTGTTCAGGTTATATTTGGACTGGACACACAGGACAAACAACACCCATCTTTTCTTTTTTTTAGGCTAGAGAAATACAACTGAATATTAAAAAGATAATAACGGACATATAGATTTTAGTAAGATGCAAAATAATTTCTCAATAGCTTTATTTAACTCCATATTTTTATCCATAACATTTGGTAAAGATTACTATAAAAATGACCTGTACACATCCATGTAGAGCCACACATAAACAAAGGAACGGCGTCAAGAATCGCGCTCAAGTGAAATCAATACTCGCGAAGAAATAAAAAATAAAAAAACATCCACAACAGCGTCAGCCTCGTAAGTGGTGCACATATTTTTATTTCACAAGGACAATTATAACCTACACTATATAGCCTACATTACATTGGTCATTACTGAGACAGCACATACAAATATTCACAGTTTAGAACACAACACAGCATAAGGACGCACGAGAGCACAAATGAATCTATTTGGACCTTGTGTACAACACCGACAGAACTTGACACAAAAAACCGCCTTTTTTCCTCCTTGTGCCTTCATTAGGTAGGATTTGTCTATTTACATTAGATGTGAACGCCACTTGGACTATACATTCAACAGTAAGAACCAACCCAGTCAAACACACGAACTACACTTCTGTTTCTCTGACTGACGCCCCCTCTCTAAATAAACAGGCATCTACAGAGTATCCTAAATATCTTTCAAGTATGTTAGAAATTTCCATGAGCGAATGTCTTTAAAAAAAAAACAATAGTAATCGTAGAGAGCATATAGAAAAAATAACCCCAAACTTACTTTCACCTGACTCAGTTTTGACTGCAATAATACACACTTTGTGATCCAAGTTCTATACGTCTGAATGTGCGTTTGGATTTCTTCTTTTTTTTCTTTTCCTCACTTCCTTTCCATCCACAAACAAACACTTCACTTGCCACCGTGGCAATTAAAGGTGATTTTTTTTTTTTTCAAGCTTATATGAAGAGGGCTGAGGACGAGAGGGTGTACAAAGGACGTGGCACAGGCCCAATGTGCAAGCTTACAGAGATATAACACCATGAGTGTAAAATACTGAAAATCGGTCCATCGAATTCCACTTGTGTTGTTCGCCATCTCAGTCTGGATTATGGGGGGGTTGGGGGTATAATATTCTAGAAACTATAGACCAACTGTGCACGGCGTTGGGACAAGCTGCTGGCCTGTTTTAATCTGCTGTTGGTGCTGCTGCTGCTGGGGCCCGGAGGCTGATGAAGAGGCCGAACCGGACGAGGAGCGAATCTTTGTGTTGGGAAGCTTGTGTTCCTTCTTCCACTTCATCCTACGGTTCTGAAACCAGATCTTCACCTGGCGCTCCGACAGACACATAGTGTGCGCGATCTCCACCCGCCTGCGCCGGGTCAGGTAGCGGTTGAAGTGGAACTCCTTCTCCAGCTCCAGAGCCTGCTGGCGGGTGTAGGCAGTGCGGGACCTCTTGGGCACCCCTCCATTGTAACTGGCATTGACTGGGAGAGGGGAGAAGGGGAGGGGGAGGCATGTGTTACATGCATGTTTAAGAAGGTGTTATTCGTCTTATTTGTGCCCACTGGACATGCATAGTGGATAAACTGTGCAGCACGTTTCTGTAGCCCCTTTTTAAACTCTCCTCTCCTTAACGGAAGAGAATGTGTACAAGTACTCCTATCCAGGGACACATCAAGCTTAGGAATGATTAACAAAAACAGCAGGGCGGAATATAACACTTTGGCTCGCCTCCAGTGCTGGAAGGTACTTTGGGTTAAAAAGCAACAAAGGCGCACGGCCCCAGACAGACGAACACAGGCAATAAAATTTACGAGGGTCCTTAATTACCGACCCTGCTGCTCGATAGTCGTAAATTGCTGTTGTAAGGGATGCTACTAGTGCTGCCTCAGTGGGCTCAAGCATGCCTTTCCATGGGCTGAGGACTCACCGCTGCTAACGTGGACCTTCTTCATCCACGGATAGACCACCGGCTCCTTGCCCTTCGCCACGCCGGGGTACACCTCACCGGCGAGGCTGCAGTCTTTGCTCCCGTTTGCCCCTGCGCCACCGTCTGGCGCCGCGGAGAGACGAGCACCATGGCTCTGTGGAATCGGCTGCGGCTGTGCGTGGTGTCCATCGCTGAAATCGTCGAGTCCTGCAGCGGCGGCTGCGGCTGAGGGCACGCTGCCGTAGTCGTAACCCGTCTCCGCGTAGCCTGACCTCGGATAGGTTTGCTCGTCGTGATGGGGGAAGCCCGTATCCTTTGGCCGCTCGTAGTAGTCGCCGTGGCTGGGGATATATCCGCTCTGCTGGTACTCGTCGCATGGTGGGAAGGAAGGCTCGATGTAGTTGGAGTTTATCAAGTAGGAACTCATGGTCATTA